GGGGGGCAGTGTACAGTAGTAGGGGCGGGCGGGGGTAGCACAAAGGGACGCACGACAGCGTGGATCCGTTCGCTATCCTGCTCTGCTCAACTATCCCCCCACAACAGTCACACGCGCGCGCACGCACACACACACTCTCTGGGCGTCACTCCAGACTCGAGTCGCCATCCGATAGCTTCGCACCGAAGCCCGCCCGTCTGTCCTCGCCTGCTGCTGTCCGTGCGTACCCTCCCTCCTCCGCGGCGGCCGTGCCGCTCGGTGCGCCGTTCCGTGCGTACATAGCGTCGGCGACGTGACACCAACGTGACTCGCGTGGCGGCGGCGTGACAACGGCGTGACAACAGGCGTGACGACGGACGTGGTTAAGGCGGCGGCGCGGCGTGTGACATAGTCCTGCCGGACCAAAGCGGCCGCAGCGACCGCAGGCAGCTCACCTCGTCGCTAGCGCCCGTGTGTGAGAGACGAGAGTGAGATAGACGGACACACGGACTGACAAAGAAGTGGGCTGGCGGCGGCGACATGAGGTGCGGACCATGGTTTACGACAACTGCGTGTGTCCGCCCCTCCCCCTTCTTTCCTCCCAGAAGTGGGTTGTAAAAACCGCAGTAGTGATGGTGGTGATTCGGAACTCCATCACGGCCTCAGCGGGCGGTATGAAGGAGCGCACACGGTCTCCACCGCCCGGCATCGCGTCGCCTGATGAAGGTCTTGCCAGAGGGGGGGGGGGGGGCTGCAGGAGGAGCCACTTGGGTCCGACTGATGTCCCGCGTGCTAGAGAGTTTATTGGCGTCAACACGTGCCTCACCTCCACCTCGGCAGCACTTTAGGGCCGCCACCGAGAGCCGACGCGACGCCACACCTGCCCCGGCGCTGCGCATTCGACCACCACGAGTAACAATATCGTTGAGACTTGAGAAATAGTAGTAGAGAAATATAAAACGTGTTGGCAATGTTGAGGAGGAGGAAACGAGCGGGCACGAGCGAGCGAGCACTACGGGGCGGAGGAGGATGGTCTCCTGCCGGGCCAGCCGGGCCGGGGCTATCGCACGCCACAACAATGGCCAGAGTTATTACATTTGAAACGAGTACGAGTAATTGCAGCGACATACATGCGCGCGGCCAGGAGGCAGACTGCACAGGGGGACTCGAGCACGACAATGAGCAGCGGGGCGGAGCGGGGCGGTGCGGGGCGGGGAGGGGGAGGACCAGACAGCACCGCCGCGCGCAACGGATCTGCGAGGGTGGCGAGGGCGAGAGACACTTTTTGCTGGAGAAAGAGACCGGGTGCAACAAAAATCGACCGACTGCTCACCCAGAAAGAAGAAAACTATAATGAAAGATGGAAATTAAATTTGTAATTTTTGTTTTGAATCTTGAGTTTGTCCTCGACAATCACGATGAGATGAGATCTACCTTACCCGCCGCCGCCACGGAAGCCCCGCGCAGCGTACAGCGGCCAGCCCCGCCCCGCCCGGCCCCGGCAGCACCAACAGCGGCTGGGCGAACCACACGTCACGTCCGCGCGGTACGGCCTCCGCACCGCAGACCAGTGTGGCGTGGAGCCCGTGGGGCGGGGCCGTGCATCATCGGCTTGAAAACGTTAACTTAGGTTAGGTACCCTCATCGCCACATTACTTCCATAGAGGTACCGTACGCCGCGGTACCGCGCAGCCACAAAATAATAGAGAATGATTTTTCATTTGCGAGCAGTGCGGTGCGCGGTGGGGAAAAGGGAAAGGAGGGAAAGGAGGGGGGG